GGATTACTGAGATGCATCAGGACAATAAAACAATGTCTTTGTCTGCAATGATTAGACATGTTTTTTTTATTATTATTGTCATTAGTGGTTATCTCAATTTCGGCTAAAAGAATTGACAAAATCCTAAACACTGTGCCTTTAAAAATAAAAAAAATCTTTGTCTCTGGGAGTGACTTATTTCTCACTCTAAAGCTTTGACAAACAAATACAGTATGAGCATGGTATTCTTACCACAGTAAAGCTTGATACAATCAATATTGTAGGAACTTGTTCAAGAGGAACTTGGCTGATGCAGATGTTTTATTTATATCTAAAAGACCGACATGCCGAAGTATTATCGAGGAACTAAAATAAATGTCAAATTATTGGCCGTGAAAAAAATGGCATGAAAGTAAAAGAATCTTATAAATAAGTTCAGAAGTTCAGATGCCTGTGGCAGACATTCTGTCTGAATAGACCAATGCATTTTTAGGCATCTCTTATTTGGGGGTGTTGTGTTTAACGGAGAAAAAATGGCTCCAGGCAATTCAGTTGAAAGACAGTGAAGTAAGAGGTAGAGCAGGGTTTTTTTTTTAATTACACAACTGTCATAACAGAACTTGGAGGCCTTTGAGGTTAGCAAGCTTCAGGTTGCAAGTGAGTTTGTGAGAGCAGGTCTACGTTGAGCTTACCAAAGGAAATGATGACACTTTCCAGAGATTCAGCTTTTAATGATAGCAGACAGCTCTGGCCTTCATCTCCGTACTCAACAATGGGGCCTCACAAAATCATTAGACTCAAAACGTTAAATGCAACTGATGCAAATTCTCTTTTGTGACCTCATTTTAGGCAGAAATCCCTCAGACAGTCACACTCTTCCTCCCCGTTGCGCTGTCTATTTCTGCTCATACCCACTGGACCTTTTGTCTTGCTGCACTTGTGCTGGCAGGTTTCCAGGAACATCAGTGCACATGTACCCAGACTGTTTTGATGACCTGATCTGGTTCTACCATCTTTGCAGAAATTTCCACTGGCACCCAGCAGAAAGCCCCAATTTCTCCACGTGCTGTTTCAAGGTTTGCAGTGCATACCATCTCATCTTCAAAAAATAAACTACTTGTAGCAGAGAAATAAGTTAAATTGACAGACTGCCCTAAAACTGCTGAGTGTGTTGGAATTCTTAGTTTTATTTTTTTTGGTGGACTTTGTGACTTTATCTTCCTTACAACATGCATGACAAACCCTCCAACCTACTGATAAGTCAGCATGTTATCAGCAGCTTMCACACACAGCCAACCTTGTACGTTTTGGCCTCTTGCTTCTAAAGAGAGATGTGCCCAGTCTTATAAGTTTATCCTGGTTTATAAAACCTGTATCACAAACATTTTTAGGCTTCATTTGTGTTTTGTGTTGTTTCTTCCATCTGTGACTTTTGTCTCCCCTRTATCCTGCCACGTCCAAGCAGAATCATTTCACATTTACAGTAGAACATTTTTTTTATGTAGATAGTATCTAGAGATTGTCTCATTTCAGTCAGTCAATTCTCAAAGTCTTTTAAATTTCTTCATTAAATAGCTTCATTATATACCTCATGTCAAAGCATGCCCAACCTTTCCACTTAATTTTTTTCCCATTACTTTCTGAGAACAATACCTTTGAGGTAATTTCTCCTCAAGGGCAGCAGTCATCACCTTCCCCCACCTTCACGCAGTTCTTCCTTTGAGACTTACAACTACTACGGGGAAGTATAAATTTGGGTGTGACCATGGGAATGTTATGAAGAGAAACTATCCTGATTTAAAAACATAATTCACCACATTCACAGGCAGAAATAGTACAATTTGATTTCATTTTGACCTTTT